TGTTCAGCAGGCTGATCTGATATTCCAGCTCCTGAACCACTTCCTCTTGCTGCTGTGGATAACATTGAAATTACTTAAAAGTTAGCATATTTTTGACCAGAGAAACCCAAGACCACTCTAAATCACATTTTAGACCCTAGAGCAGCATGTTTAATCAAAAATCCCTTTTGAATAGATATTTGACATGGGGTTACTAGGATTTGGCCAGTAAGAGCCATGTAAATGCATTAACCTGACGGCCTTAATCTGATTAAACCAATATACCACGTTTTAGGAAAGTGACTAAAATAAGTTATCATATGCCATTAATCAGAATTTTACTTCAGAATAAAGGTTTAAACAGAATTAATTGGAAAACTATGTTCATGTAAACATGTAAACAGTTCTTCCTATATGTAAATACCTGTATAGCCTCAGTTTGCTGCACAGGTTCCTGGGTAAAATAGTCTCCTGGCAAGTCATTTGGGTCCACATTGACCGCCACATCCACAGTATCCCGATGCAACGGCAGGCTGTTCCCGCAGTTCCTGTAGAGCTGCAATAGGTCTGGAGGTTTGGGAATGTTTAGACCCACATCATCCCACAACTCAAAATCCTGCAGATATAAAATATCATGAGTACCAGGAAGAAATAAAATACTAAATTTAATAATTAATGTATGAAAGGAATTCATAAAATATTACCTGATCATCATTTTCATCAGAGAATGTGATGGATGTTAACTTATATTCATTTTTCAATAAATACTCATTAACTAAAAAATTTAAGGCTCTCTTTTCAAGAGGGCGAATAGGTTCCTGAAAAAAATTATTGGATAAAATGAAGTTCATGTAGATTGATTCAAACTAATTGTTCATAATTAGCTTATTAGAGAGAGAGAAAAAATGAAAGGTAGGGTAACCTGAATTTCAGGACTGGATTTGTAGTTTTTTCTCTCTTGAGAAGGAATCTCACATTCTACACAGAGAGAAAGAAAGAAAGAAACAGAGAGAAAGAAAAACGAGTGAGCTGGAATTTGATTTATGGTGGACATTACAAACTGCCTTTAGGAATGAGAGCAGCTCCTATAGCAGAAGGAACTGAAGTGTGTAAAAGTTGAAAGTACGCCACCTGGTACGCCACCTGCAGCCTGAGTCAAGTTGGCACGAAGAGCCTGAATGGTCTCCTTGGCTTTCCGCAGTTCAAACTCCAGAACTGGACCAGGGGGAAGTGGGTCACACACAAACAGGCATCCAACCAAGAGAAGGGAACAAAGAAACAAAACAAAAGGGGGGAAAAAAGAACAAAGGATGGCCATGAAAAAACAAAATAAAAGAAAAAAAAGAAAGAAAAGAAAAACGACAACATTTGTAAGAAGCTGAGGCAGAGCCAAAACAGGGACATGCACACTATGGATCTAATGAACATATGCAGCAGAGGTTGCTGGAGGAGCTGCCAGATCATGAAAATATTTACACATTTATTTTCCTTCGGGTTTTCTTTTCTCGCAAATTCACTAGCTGCTGTCTGACCAGGGATTTAGAGAAAATCAAAGTCTGTTTGTTTGTTTGGATGAACGGTAAAAAAAAAAAAAAAATCTTTCACAATTTTTTTGAAGTTCCTTTAGATCTTCAAATTCCTTTTGACTTTAAAGCTGAAGTGTGTAATTTCTGTGCCGCTAGCGTCATCAAAGAGTTGCAAATTATATATGACCTGTCCTAAATAGTGCACTTTAAGTTCATTTGCCATCTAGCAGCAATCGCTTACATGTGTCCATAAAGTTCACATGACCATAGGGAGTCCTGTTTGTCATTTTGGGTTGCAAAATTGTGCGCCAACTTCAAGTCTACATTAGCAGACAATAAAGTGTAAACCGTGCCATTTGGGATGGGCCTAATCATCGTCAAAAGTACCAACTTCGGTACCAGTCGGTACTGAAATTTAAAGTGCCCCTATTATGCCATTTCTACGGTTCCTAATATAGTTTTGGGAGTCTCCTACAATAGGATTACATGCATGCAAGGTAAAAAAACACTTTCGTTTTCTCAAAATATGCATTTAATATCACCTCATTTTCCAGCGATTTCCAATACGATTCGTTCGAAGCAGTTCAAAGATTCAGTCTCTCTAAACCCCTCTTTTCCGTGAGCCTGCTCTGCTCTGATTGGTCAAATGGCCAAGTCTGTTGTGATTGGTCTACGACGTACAGCGCGTTTCGGAAACGATACGCTTATTTCAATAGTTCTGTATTTTGAACGCTCTATAGAAAATATAAACATCTATTATTTATCATACTTACAGGTTGTGATTCAGTGGAACAGCTGGTCCAAATAAACAGGACTATGATCCATCTTTCAACAGCAAGCGTTTTGTGAATCCTGCGTTGAACTCGCCGAGATTAGAGAAGCATTTGTCAGTAGAATGACGTCTTTGTGGGCGGGGGCAAGTTGTTCGCGGCTGGCCAACGTAGAACATAGGCGCGCATTATGCAAATGTGTTATCCCGTGACGTGTAGCCGTCACGGAAGTGGAATTCGAATTACTAACGACTCGTTTCAGCTGTTCAGAGTCTATTCTTTATTTTGGGAGACAATAACTTTATTTATCGTGCACTTTCAGCTTTACAACTTTGCAGATCGTTTACATTCACATACAGCTGCATTACACACTACATGAAAGGCAATATTGGAAATGGCATAATAGGGGCACTTTAAAAAATGTCCATTTCCAGCTACCATTTGAGTGGATTCTTAACATTGCTGATTTGACCGCTCATTTTTTTAAATTTCAGCACCGACTGGTACCGAAGTCGGTACTTTTGACAACACTAGAAACAGTTTACCCCACCCCTAACTCACGTCATTGGCTAGACCAATGTTGACGTGTCAGATCGTTCGGGATGCAGAGGAATGTTTTGACAGCACCATAGAGACTTTTCATGGGAATCAATATTTGAATGGCTTACGAGTGTCTTTGAATACTAAGCTGGAATATGAGAAAGTAATTTGAAACGGACAAAAAAAAAACTACACACTTCTGTTTAAATAAAACTAAATGGTCTACAAAAAGCTTTTCAGTTAACAATCCCAAATATATACAAACGCAAATCCTAAATACACAAAATCTAAATCCACCTGTTGTTTGCATTTGATCTTTGTTGTAAAACAGTTGTTCAATTGGAAAAGGATTTACTAGTGTATGCGAAGCCCCGCAGCAATCCAGCTACTGTGGACCTGCTAGACGAGTTCTAACACAGGCTGTGTCTCATTTCTGCTCGCTAATTTCTAAAACGGGAATCAGCGTACTGCGAAGACCAAATCTGGGATCAGAAGCACTTTGATCCTCTAACAGTTGGGACACTGATGATCTTGCATTAAAATACAACATGTAAATCCGAGAAAAATGGCACTATCGGAGCCGATACCCGATATGAATATCGGATCGGCACATCCCTAGTAATAACCAATATTCTTCTGGTATCAGATAACAACATTTCAAAAATCAGCTGATTCTCACCGATTTTTAGGATGCAATTCTAGGAAGCAAACATTTCAGTGTACTGGAACAACTGCGATCATAGGACAGCCCTAGAAATCCTTGGGCAGTGTATGAACTAGGGAACGGATTGAGACACACCGAGAGACACCGGGGAAACAGAAGCATGGAGAGCACAGGACACTTTGCATGACTGTGCACTGATGATCAGCAGGTGGGACTCCCACAAGCTCTGCTTCCTAAAATGTTTTCTGGAACACCATCTACCCGAACAGGGCCAGATAAAGAAGGAAGGAAAAAAATTAAGATGAATTCAAACACAAGAGAAAGAAAATAAAAAAAAAAACTCAAAAGAATGGGAGGGAAAAAGCTAAGAGAAAGCAGAGCTCAAATGGGACAAAGACACTTATGCTGCTGATCAACTCAGCACAGGATGCAAGTTTAACAAATGGAAAAATGTAAGAACAAGCAAAAAAAAAAAAAAGTGGCAAAGGTGTGCTTGCCTGGATGGTTTGTGGTCCAGTATTGGAAAGAGAAATACTGGAATAGAGACCCATCAGACAGCCAATAAACCCCAGGTCAGACAGCCAGGGCTGTGCTCATCGCTGAAGTGGTCAAGATTTGGGAGCAGATGCCCAATTTGGGGTGTAAAAGTGACATTTTGTACAAAGCAATCTTATTCTGCTGCACGGTTCCTTAGGCTTTCTACTTACCCATAATTAACTTTCAACAAAATCACACTTATAAGAAGCACAGAAAACCTTAAAGCGCCATGAAAAATACCCATTACCTAAAATCAATTAGATATATTTATAATTTTTATTTGCTCTTATTTACTTTAATGTTTATTTATTACACTATAGGCCTGTTCTCACCAAGTCTAAAGTGACAAAGTCACATATTTACAAACAATTTTATGTAATATTTAACAACTTTAACTACAACTAAAAATGTTCATTTTCTGAAAATCTAATGAATAAATAAAATATAAAATAAAAATGAATACAGATCAATGATGAGAATAAAAATAAAATTAAATTTAAAAATACAAGAAAAAAAAGATTTGATATAAAAGAAATAAAATAAAATAAGCTCATACATTAAAATTGCTTTGTTTTATTCAAAGCTTTAAAATACAGCCTTGGTGTGAACAGACCTTAATACTACTATCAGAAAAAGTTCATTTGAAAAGATCGCAAGCAAAATATATCCCTGGATAGCAGAAATGCTGATACTTTGTAAACAATTAATTGACTTCACTGTTAAACCAGTAGCCAACAAATATTTGTGGACGGCTAAGCTCTGAGGAGTTTTTTTTTTTATGTTGGTAGAGGGTAGGAGATGTGAATTTTCACAGGAATTATTAGTAACAACACTTTTCGGTCTGAAAAATATCTGCCAGGATAATGTAGGAATCTGAAGCTTTGTAGGGACTCAAGCTAATGAAACAGAAAAAGCTCAAGGAACAGTATGGCAACCAAGCCAAGCAAGTATCAAAATAGGGAAATGACAAGAGAGGAAACTTGAGAGCCAGAAAACCTTTTGCTTGGAAAGAAATGGGAAAGCAAAATAGTTATTGTCAGTACAGCCCAATTAGACCGAAAAGTTTAGCGTTCAGGCTATTAGTTAACCCTCCTACTCGTCTATAGAGACCACTCATCTACCAGACCGCTGATGAAAGCGGTCAGTGAACTATACAGTTTGACCCATGTGAATTCACATCAATCGCCAAGAATGCCAAGAACCTTGTGTCATATACGGTAACACTGACCAAATCGCCTCTCATAAAAGAGTTTAACACAAGCCACTGAACCACTAATAGTTTCCAGAAAAATGTCCAGTAAAGCCAATTCCTTCTCATTTTGCCTAAAAAATGGCCATGTACTGTAACTGCTGAATTGTGTTCTTGGAAATTCAGGGCATTAGCAAATAGAAAATTTGCCTATTGTCAATTGTGGTCTAATATGATGATAAGTGCATGCAAAATGTTTAAAATTAAATGGACTAAAGATTTCCACTATTAAAAGTATCGTATGACACGAAGTTGGAATTCAAGAACACTTACGTGTTTAAAACCAACCACATGACCAGTCACTGTGGCTGAGGAAAATGTATTTAACTAGCAGCCAACTGTCCCATCGTAGTATGCGAAGCACACCGCAAACAAATCTGATATGATTTTCAAATATGATCATTAGGACTGAGTGCTCACGCTGTAGTCATTAATTCTATATATAGATAGATATGACAGCAGGATTTTCCTTACCTGCCACTCTTTCGTCTGACTCCCTGTTGCCATCATCTGAATAACGGGCGAAATCCAAGGAGTCCAATGTACTGATGCTGCCAGCTCGATCTGGAAACAAACAACCAAACCAAAAATGGATGTTAAATTCAGTGGTTCCCAACTTCCCACCCATCTTAAAGGGTTTCATATTCTACCCACACCCTTATTAGATAGAACACTAAACTAGCATTTACAGAAAGTAAAGTGGTGACATTTTGATTTGTTTCGGCAAACTAAAGCAGTCAGCAGTTATAGAGAATAGGCTCTACGTAGGCCAAAACTTTCCAGAAGCACAGATCTCTCCGTCTGTCTGCACTGCTGGAGGGAAGATAGAAAAATATTGCCAACGTCAATATTTATATATTTATTAGGGCTGCACGATAAATCGCATGCGATATTTAATGCACATCTTGCCAGAAAAGCCGGTTCTGTAATCATCTCCATCACCTGCGGGCTTTCACATTGAGCAGCATTAACTACACAGAGCCGTTGTTCACTGACGAGCTGCGCAAAACCACGTTCATATTCGCGCGATTTTTTGCGCAGCTCGTCAGTGAACAACGGCTCTGTGTAGTTAATGCTGCTCAATGTGAAAGCCCGCAGGTGATGGAGATTTACCGCTGATTACAGAACTGGCTTTACTGATAAGATGAGAGTTAAATATCGCATGCGATTTATCGTGCAGCCCTAGTACTCACTCATGAAAACATATTTTAACTTTCAGAACTCAAAACATCCTCCCCAATACAAAAACACAACTTATGGAAATGTGTTTCAATTCGACAATGTAACCATCCAGTTGCACACCAACAATATCTATTCTGGATTCATAAACATGGCTTGTCCAGTCAAACTGAGGCATATTTCTACTATTACACAAGAAAGAAATAATTAACAAAAATTACAGTGAAAAGTATGTAAAAGTCTTGATCTATTCCTACTGTATGTAGCACCTACTCTCTGCATAGAAATCTTTAAGTCTTTTAAAAGACTCCATAAAATAAAATAAAATAAAAAAACAAAACAAAATAAAATAAGCCATCTCTTCTTTCGGAAAATGGTCATGAAAAGTGAATTAATTTAATGATTGTTGGCACAAAACACTAGACAAGCATAGGCAAATGTAGTTCTGGGGAAAATAAATTATATAAGTCAAATCATATAAAATACAATAAATGATATGGCCTCTTTAAATGCTTGTGCTCTCATGGCACTATTTTCTTTCACTCGAGCTAAATATCACAGTGACTTGAGCATGTGTCACATGATGGCAGTAAAGCTCATGCACTCAGTCCCGTAACAGCAAAGCTGTCCATGTAGACGAGGGACAATCTCAATCCACCAATGAAAAGGAGAAATTTTACTGGCCTTCAAATAGGTGATTTTTTTGTGTTTGCATGCCAACGTAAGCTTGCATTCTGTATAAATGCAGTTGGCTAAATGTTAAATGACACTCTGGTAGTTAAATTAGTGGATCTGCCTATCACAGTCTTGGACAGAAAAGTATTGATGAGGGAACAGTTTTGTGACTCTCTCTGGGCGTGACTTGAATGACAATGCTGAGATCCAACATGTGAGAGTGCCACGGAGCTGTGCTGAATAAACGTCTTGTCAAACTGGTTGACAGGGAGGGGCTGGTGGTTCTGAGAAGGCAATATGTGAGCTTGACCTATGCATAAGATGCTTCCTTCAAGGAAAGATATTGAAAAGCTCTTGTTCAATATGTCAGGCGAGTCATGTGACTCGTAAGCGATAAATGTGCACACATACTTGCTTCTGTGTGGTAAAGTTCACATAATCAACACAAAATTAGAAATGATACTCTGATGTCAAAACACTTTCTTATTTTCCAGTTTAATATGCAAAAACTATAAGTCAACCATTCGTAGGTTGATTTCCATGAAAAAGGTAACATCAAAGGGAGTTTTTGTGTCTTCTCATCATTGAGCACACAGAACTTCACATCTCCTATCAGAATTTGGCTACTAAGTGTTTTGCATTAGCAATACAAAGTTATTTTAGTAGCTCAGGAATCTGAGGTAGTGACGCTAGGCTAGAAAGACACTGTTTAAACAAAAAGGAGCCATTTATTTTTAGACACAGGTTACCAAAATCCATAAATTAAGCATTAACTACAAAGCAAATGGTCACAATAATTAAAAATCAAAGCCACACCCTCAGGGCCACAATTTCACAATTTTTAATATATGATCTGCATGTTCCTTCATAAAACATGCTGCTCAAATAACATTTCTTATTACTATCAATGTTGAAAACAGTTGTGCTTAATATTTTTGTGGAAGCCGTGAGATATTTTTTGATTCTTTAATGAATAAAAAAGTTCATATGAACAGAATGTATTTAAAATTTTAATCCTTTGTAAGTAACATTATAAATGTCTTTACTGTCACCTTTGATCACGTTCTAATGCATCCTTGCTGAATAAAATAACTAATTTCTTTCAAAAAAAAAAAACTTGATCCCAAAATTTTGTTCAGTATTGTATATTGACTGACATACGGTTTCAATTTTACTTAATAAAAAAAAAACATTCAGTGAGCTTTAGAACTTATGTGGTCGATAATTTTAGGTCTTTATAATGTAAGTGTGTATTTAGGCAGTAGGTCAATGCAGATTTGCAGAATATTGTATAGTAAGAATCAGTAGAAATTTTAAAGGGGTCATATGATGCGATTTCAATTTTCCTTTCTCTTTGAAGTGTTACAAGCTCTTGGTGCATAAAGAAGATCTGTAAAGTTGCAAAGACTAAAGTCTCAAATCCAAAGAGATATTCTTTATAAAAGTTAAGAGTCAACCACACCTACCTAAAACGGCTCGTTCTAACACGCCCCCACGTCTACGGGAAGATTTGCATAACACCGCCCAAATGTTCACGCAAAGAAAGAAGGCGCAACTTTTATTCTCGCTGTAGTATTGTTGCTGCCGCCATGTCGTGAAGGTGCTGTGTGTTTCGTTGTGAAAGCGAAACTAATTTATTTGGCCTTCCAGAAGAGGACGATATCCGCTTCGTCATGCCTAGAGCTGATCCGTGCTGGTCGCTGACGAAATACATCAACTTTGCGCTAGGGCTGTGCGATTAATCGAAATCGAATCGAAATCGCGTTTTGAGACGTTGCGATTTCCTAATCGCAAAGCCTGCGATATGGACGCGATATTACTCTGTTCCAGAGCATATGCATGACTGCCAGCCTTGAGTTGCAGTCTTACTAACCAATAGAGTGAGCGCACCTCCGTTCTCCCCAATCAGCACTGCTCTAGCCAACTGCGTAAACACCCACCATTTAAAAAACCAAAACCAAAAAAAAAACAAAGCGGGAGAGAGACAGAGTGGGATTATGGCGTCTACTGGCTCAGATCGATAGTTAGGCAAATTTAAACTAAAGAAAAACGTATGCAACTTAAGCTTCGAAATGACAGACAACGAACAAAAAAGGTAATTTGCAAGAGTTGCGTCACAGCACATATCAAAAGCTCCCTTTTATCGGTTCTGTTTTCAGTACTGGTGAATAAAAGATACAATCTTAGATGTTTTTGTTAGTACGTGAATGTTATCTTACACATTTTATCTCCCCAACAGATTAATTTGAAATAAGTTTATAATGCATGTTGGCTATTCCCAATGCTGCACATTATTGACAATATTGAGCTGAAGCTTGACTTTGCAAATTTAAAATCGCAAATCAAATCGCAATCGCAATATCTGTCAAAAAAAATCGCAATTTGATATTTTCCCCCAAATCGCACAGCCCTACTTCGCGCTGTGGAATGCCAGATCGGCTTTCACCGTAGACGAAGCGGAGTCCAGCCCGGGGTCGACACATGTGGTTGCCGCAAGCCCGCCAGCCGCTCCTTCGTTGAATCCACCGGCCATTCCTCACTCAAGCCCGCCCGCCTCCGCTCACTCAAGGCCGCCGTGTGTGACGCTGTGTGTTTCGTTGTGAAAGCGAAACTACTTTGTTTGGCCTTCCAAAAGAGGACACGACTAGAAATCAGTGGTTAAGTTGTATTTACAACACTGTTCCAGAACAGTTCAACCCAAATATTAATTTGTGTACAGCACATTTTATGGAGGACTGTTTCCTGATCCTGGAAGAGTAAACTACAGTGCTGGCTGTTCTGACTCACAGACTGTAAGTACGTATTAATTTTAAGGATTTGCCACTGATGATTCAAACGTGAGTTTTGGGCAGTGTAGAGTAGCGCTTGTTTGTAATTTCTCCGATCACAAATGCAGATGGTTTTATGTTTATGCAGCGCGATGCAACGCAACGCAACGTGTAAAAAGACAGTATAAGTCATTATAATCCGTAATTATGCCCCCACTGGATGCAACACATGCCTCGTTTGTAATGGGTTTTCATGTTTTTGAATCGTCGCTCCGTCCGGGACAAGGCATCACAGTATGGTAAGGGGCGTAACATTTCCGTCACACGCTTGAGGTATTCGGCCAATCACAATGCACTGGATAGCTGGCCAATCAGAGTACACCTCGCATTTCAGACCGATGAGCTTTGTAAAAATCAAAGCGTTTCAGAAAGGCGGGGCATAGAGAAACAATAATGTACAGTATGTGGAAAATAATGTGTTTTTTTAACTTTAAACCGCATAAACACATTTCATTACACCAAATAAATGTTCTTTTTAGCAACATCATATGACCCCTTTAAGTACATTTATAAGGTTGCATAAGGCCTAATGGTGTCTTCTGGTCTGTTTGCTGTGTGTCATTCGTAGCTCAATGAATAGGCTGGGGGTGGTGGGGGCACAGTTAATTGTGCAGTAAACTAGATTCTGATGACAGCCCGACAGCTGCTTCACAAAAACTGATCCAATCAAGTCTGCATCATACAGTTTACAATATTCATTCAGCGTTGCTTCAAATCCTCTCACATCCTAAACACACAGAAGCCCTTTCATCCCTGAAACGCTTCTCAAGCGGTTGCTGCGTCTCTCTAGCAAAGGATAAAATATTGGCGAGACCATGTGAGGTGTTGATAATGTCTCTTCCTGCAATGACGTGACAGAAGCGTGGTTGAGAGCCATCTGCTCCCTCTCAGCTGGTTGCCAGCTCCTCTTTTGGGGAGGGGGTTAGTTCCATAATGCTAATAAAACCCTGTGGCTCCTGAAACCTCTGTGTTCTAGAACCAGGTCAATACACAGCCGTCAGCAGCAATTAGGCATGTATTTAAGAGCTAGTTAAGTGCGGTTCAGTCTCCAATGCAGACTAAGTAACCCAGTTGAAAAAAAACCCTGTTTAAAAAAATAGGGATTGGCTGACACAAACAGGCAACCCAGGTCTAGTCTTCTAATTTCAATAGCATCCCCCTCTCCCTGGAGAACGGTGTCACTTAGGACACTGCACTCAGCTGATGAGGTCACATCCTGTCTTTTGGTCCTCTTAAAAATAAAGGTTCTTTAGCATCGATGGTTCCATGAAGAATCTTTAACATCCATGGAACATTTCCATGTCCTTTAGTGGATTTATGTTTCCTTTACATAAATCTCTTAGATCAATGTTTTGATGTTACCTTTTTCGTGGAAAAAAAAATCATTTTTTCAGATGATTAAAATGTTCTTCACACTAAGAAAAAAAAGGTTCTTTTAAGAACTGTTCACTGAAAGGTTCATTCATTGTGGAACCCAAGGTGGTTCTTCTATGGAATGACTAGGGGGAATAAGTAAACTTTTATAGGTCTTAAAATTTGTATGGTTTTATTTTTGACAGCATAATTCGTAAAATCAAGAAATTTATAACAATTTCATTTTACAAAATAAATTAAGGTTTTCATGTACAGTGGGAAGGTTGCAGGACTACATGCAATTTTACGAATCTTAATATCAGATCTAGGAAAGATGGTTGTCATGCGAAACGGGAAAAATATTCAGATATAATACTCTTTGCAATAGGCAGCTGATTAGATGGATTAATGATTGTTTTGAACCGTGAATAAGCCTGCATGAAAGCCATTTCAACATGCCCACCCACATGTTCAGTCAGCAGCAGGCTGAGAAAATGTGCAGTTGATGTGCACTTATGCCAGGCAGTCACGCAAAAACACCACACATAAAAATTGAAGAATAACTGTGATACAACCAGTTCTTGTGGCTCAGTGGTAGAGCATTGTGTTAGCAGCGCAAAAGTTTGTGGGTTCGATTCCCTGGGAACACACATATTGGTAAAAAATGTATAGCCTGAATGCACTGTAAGTCGCTTTGGATAAAAGCATAAATTACAACCAGGACAGATTTGAAAGCATTCAGTCTAATATTTGGTCAGTACTTCTTCCTCATTCAATCAACCTGTAGAATACCTGCAATCATTCCATAAGCTTCAGCAACCACACAGAAATTTTCAATTAGGTTGTCATCATAAAAGATTCGTATGAAACAATGATTCAAGGCTTGTGCACACCAAGAGCGATAACTATAAAGATATTATTTAGCATCCACACTAAGGCTGCACGATAAATCTTTTGCGCAACTCGTCAGTGAACAACAGCTCTGTGTAGTTAATGCTGCTCAATGTGAAAGCCCGCAGGTGATGGAGATTTACCGCTGATTACAGAACCGTCTTTATTGACAAGATGCGCATTAAATATCGCATGCGATTTATCGTGCAGCCCTAATCCACACCAATGAACGATAACTTTCTGTTTATTATAAGTGCACCCACAGTTTTGTGTGTGTGCTACTTTAAAAAGCTTGAGTCAGGTGGATTCTGATTGGCCGTCAATGTTTTTGCAATGGCCTTTTTAATAAAAAATATTTTATATTTTTCACATTATTTATTTATTAAACTGTTGATTATTTAACATTATTTATTTTTATTTATTGATATTATAAATTTTAATTTGTAAATGAGGGTTAGAGTTTAATCCACAACTTATTTTAAAGGTTAAAAAAAGTACAAAAAGAAAAAAGAAAAAAAAAAATCCTCCCTGGGTACATTGTGTCACTAGTTGACAACATTTTCCCCCATAATTTATGCAATATTCTATAACTGTCCAAACACATCTAACTTGCAATAGCACAGAACAAAAGCTTGCCTAATTATATGGTAAATGGCAACAGCTGATTGGTCAATAGCATTTTTAAGGTGGGGTTTAAACGGACAACTTACCCAAAAAAGATGATTCTATCATCATTTACTCACCCTGATGTTGCAAAACTGTAAGAGATTCTTTCTAGAACATAAAAGAAGCTATTTTGAGACATGTCTTTCTTGTCCAAATAATAGAAGTCAATCGTAACCAAAACGTTTTGGTTGCCAGTATTCTTCAAAATATCTTCTTTTTGTGTTCCACAGAAGACAGACAACAGCTTTGGAACACCATGAGGGTAAGTAAATTATGACAATTTTAATTGTTTGCTTTCACTTTAGATTATTGGTTTTTGTAACCTAAAATGGCTCCTTTTAACGAAGGCTTGATTGTCTTGCAAAAATGTCATTGATCTTTAATCAATAATTCTTTCATAAATGATCAACATTATACAATTTTGCAATTTTCAATCCACACTGCAACTACATGCAACCTAAGTAATCAAGAAAAACAAATCCCAACGTCATGCTTTGAAAGGCAAATAGCAAGAGGCAGACGAGTGCAGGCTATCAGATAAGAAATTTCATTTAGGAGCAAAGGTATAAGAAACACAGAACACGAAAGGAATTCCTGATTACACCAAACAAAGTACATCAATCCCATGTATCACTGCACACAGTCAAGGTTTTACATACCCCTCATATGAGCATCTTTTTTTCTCCTCTTTCTATCCTGCACCTGCACAGCTGGAATCAGTGGGAAGACTTCACATCACATCACACAACAAAGACACAATCCAGCCCTAAAAATGCCTCCCCAACAAGCCTCTGCACTTGAACGGATTAGACTGAAACACAGTAAACCGCAATATGAAATTAACAGGTAGTCTAGCTAGAGTACTAGTTTGAACAGCTGCAGTGTTGGTGTATTTTATGGCTGTTTAAAGAGTGAGTTGATTAATTTGGGTACTAAGTAGATATCCTGTTACAAATCCTAGTGAGCAGCCTAACTAGATAGCAATTTTATATATTTGTTTATGTGCTAACTAGGTATCCAGCTCCCAAACCTAGCGAGTTGCCTACCTAGACAGCATTTTAGTGCATTAATTTGGGTACTAACTAGGTATCCTGTTACAAATCCTAGTAAGCAGCCTAACTAGATAGCAATTTTGCAACTTGAACTTTGTACATTAGTTTGTGCTAACTAGGTATGCAGCTCCAAAACCTAGTGAGCTGCCTACCTAAAAAGCATTTTGGGCATTAATTTAGGTGCTAAATAGGTGTCCTGTTAAAAAAAAAACACACACAACTTAAATCAGACTAAGATGGTTACCTAGTCTATCTGGTTTTCCAGACTGGCCAAGTGGAGTTCAGCTAGTTTAAGCTCGTCGACCAGCTGACAAGTGTCCAAAACCTTAACACCTGCCAGCCAAACCAGGTTATGAGACCATTTTAGACTGGTTTTAAATGTTTTTTGACTAACGTTAGCATATGCAGTCTCGTAGGTTTTGAAACACGTCCATTACTGCATACAGGAAGACTAGACTTTATTGCGGTTGGACCTACATTATAAACATTATCTCATGACTTACTGAGCGGACCTCCAGGACCGACACCTTGCTCTTTGCACGCGGGTGGAGTTCCGCTCTGCCGCTCGAAGTTGCCTGGATTGGAGAAATAATCCCGCAGGCGAGGCAGCTCGCGTCCGGCTTCCAGGAGCTCGGTGTGCAGCTCCAGGGCCGTGAGGATGTACTGATCCCGGAGCAGCTGCGCGGCGATCGCATCAAGCGACACCCGAGTCTCCGCGCCTCCTCCTCCGATCCCAGCCACCGCCGCGGCCGACGCGGGGATACCGTCCACACTCGGGCTGGTTCGGTTGCTGGACAGCAGAGCGGCTGGCTCGGAGTACGCCGGCGGGGAGAAGGGACCGAGTCTGTGGCCTTGCGCTTCATCACTAGGGCTGCGCTCGGTGTCCGCGCAATCCTGCCTCTGCTCCGCTTCCTCCTCCGAATCACTCACGTTAAACGGGTTGACAGTGCCCGCCGCCATTTTGCCGTAAGGTGTTTAGCCAGCTATCTGGCAAATATGTGTCTCCGTCTTTCTAGACGGATGTCAAGAGCGCTTTATTGATCCTAATCAACGTGGCTCCGGGAAATATGCTTTGGTTGGTGGGGCCGAATGTCATTTCAGCACCCCGCCTCCTCCCTGCCAAGACACGAGCGGAAATGACGTCATGCACTTCGATTAGCCTGGATCATTCTAAGCTTCAAACAAAACAAAAATCTGAATATATTAAATTATATTTAACAATATAATTTAAGACAAAAGTTGTTTAATAAAATGAATTTAATCTATCTCTAAATTGTTGTATTTAATCTATCATTCTAAGATAAATAAATAAATAAATTGTATACAATATATATATAATATATATATATATATATTTGCATATATACAATACAATTTTAGGGCAAATATTATAATAAAATATCATTAAAATATCTATCTGTCTATCTGTCTCTGTCTGTCTGTCTGTCTGTCTCTCTGTCTGTTGTTCTTTTAATGTTAGACCATGTTTGTAGTCTGTTTTTTTTTTTTTTTAGCAATTACACCTGTTTTAGAGAACCTTTCCTGGAACACTTTTCTTCTGTTATGCATTTCGTATGAGGAATTAGGAAATATCCTAATAGCACCTTGATGTCACAATTCAAGATAAAGACAAATCAACACATCAGCATTGAAACAGACAGATATTTCATCTCATGACAGTCTCATCTCAACTGAAACAGCTGATATAAGTCAGATTTACAGCATGTTTGCCTTGCATCTGTTTGGCCATCAGTAGATGTTCACGTGGCTGCAACCTTATTAGTGATTGTACACAATCAGACATTTGTTTGTGCCATGTGCTGGACTGAACCAAGCATAGCATGTTTTCAGTTCTGGCTCTCTGGTCACATATGGTACATTAATTTCTAATTTGCATGTACATGACGTCTATGCAGTGATGCAAATATATTACTTAATTAAATAAACACACAAATAAATATTTTTTGCTGTTCTGTGGCAAGTGTAGGAGCAGTTCACATGCATGGATCTCATCTATTCATTAAAGGTCTGTTTTGCTCTTGATGCACCAAACTACACCAGATGCTATGTGTATAGCGTTTGATATTTTTCCTCCGTTAACATTTTTGAATTAGTGTTTATGTAACGGAAGCTATGGTTACCATGGTCATTTTTTGAAAAGGCAGACAGTAAAAATAGGACTTTTATTTTGAAATATATATCAGTCAGCTGTGAGAACAACTTTTGAGTGGTTAATGTTAGTTAGTAGCAGTAGTTCCACATAAGGCGCAAGATTCTGAATGCCGCTCAGAAATGCTGTCTTGGATCCGATGATCTCTAGGTTTTGGGACACACAGCCATCGTCTGAACTGTGGGAGGTTGAGGCGCGTGTGTTGTGTTGAGTTGTTGCATAACAACCTCTGCGTCTGCAGCGTCTGCACTCATCCGCTCCATCTCCTCCTGTAAACACAGTCTTTCTTCATTTCCATGCCCAGAGAGCAGCATATTCACTCTTGTGTTATTGATAAGAGCTTCATCTGATAACGGCTTCTGTCTTGTCCAGAGCTCTTTATTAATTGCTGAGTCTGGTTTGGGATAATATGAATGTCAACATCAGCAACTTTATGGAGGACAGAAAGGCGAACACAGAAGAAGCGCCTTACATGGAAATGAAGGTAAGCTTAATTTCTAATAGAAATAGTGCTGCTTGATTTGTTTGTGTGTTAAAACATGAACATGTTTATGTATTTATATTTCAAGTTATTGTTTTATTACTTGTCTTTCTTTCATAGACAAGTTTTGGTAACAAGGAGAACCCTGCTAATAAAAAACAAACTTCTCACCCCAAACAGACCAAAGGCAGGATATATTTCAATATAATTTCAGTCAAATTCATATATTCAATACTTGATATTGGATGATACATTTTAAAATCAGTGTCTGTTCTTTCTCACTTATTTAAAAATGCCATTGAAGATGTTTCATATTGTCGTCTTATTTACAGAAGAAAGTTTTGGCCTCAGTTTACCTCTTGGAGAGGAATATGAAAGAAAAAAGCAGAAGTTAAAGCAAGAACTACGTCTTGATTACCGACACTTTATGTCTGAGGTACACTATGCTCCTCTGTATAATATAACATTTCAATAAACATCTGAAATAGGCCTATATAATAAAAAATTACTTGCACACCTGTTTCTCTTTTGATGTTTTTTTTTTTTAAACTACATATTTAAATAGTTTGTGTTTCTGTTTGTTAATCAGATATATATTTTAAATAAATTATTTATTTTAATAAAGTTTTAATTAGTTTCTTCTATCTCTTCCTTAGAAAAAAAATCAAATTATTGCTGATCCAATTCCACAGTCCCACATGCTGTCTCTCCCCATAAAAGAACGGAGATCAGCGAAGGTAAAATATGTGTGTGTTGTCCATCTGTAAACGTAGGCATCACTAGAGCAAATTCCGCATTTGGTGCCATGACCTGGTTCAATCCATTGCACAAAGACCCATCCTTACTGTTTGGCAAGCCGTCAGTGACATGAAAAATGATTTGCTTACTCTGACTGGATAAGGTGTCTAGTGGCAACCAGTTTATTGCTGAACTGCAGATCTGTTTTGCGTACACATTTGAGATTTGTACAATCGTAAAAGAGGTCTTATACTATGAATAATTGTTTATTGTTACCATAGAAATGTAATGGTACACTATTAATGTAACAGTTTTGTGATTCTACCCAGGAAAAGCTGCAGGATGAGAGGAACAAGGAATATAATATGTTTCTCCGAGGGCAAGAGGGAGCACAGAAAATAGGGAAAACTTCAACTACCCCACAGGTTTAAATGAAATAAAGCATTATTTTGTTGATATATGACCTATACATCTACATTAATAAATAATCTTCACAAATGTCCTTATTGAACTACAGTTTAAAGGAATAGTTCACCCAAAAATGAAAATTTGCTGACAGTTTACTCACCCTCAGGCCATTCAACATGTAGATGAGTTTGTTTCTTCACCGGGACAGATTTGGAGAAATGTATCATTACATCACTTGCTCACTAATGTATCCTCTGCAGTGAATGGGTGCCGTCAGAATGAGAGTCCAAACTGCTGATAAAAAACATTGCAAGTAATCCACACTCCAGTCCAGTCTCCAGTCCATCAATTAACATCTTGTGAAATGAGAAGCGGCATGTTTGTAGAAAAACAAATGCACCACTGAGATGTTTTAACTTTAAACCATCGCCTAGCTAAAATACTCTATCCATAAAATTGCTTCCTCCAGTGGAATTTTCAGCAAATTATCATTCAATTCAACTATTCTTTTAAAATTCTATAGACTTGAACCTCTCCTTGAATCCTCAGCATATGTTGATCATGTTTCTGTCAGGCCCTGGAGAGAGATCGTTTTGGCTCTATTACTCCAAAGTACCCTGTTGGTTCTCTAGAGGTACAAGCGCAAAAGGCCAGTCAGAGCCCGGAGAACACCGTGTTCTCAAAAAGGGATGTTGTCACTCTGACTGAGCCCATTTCCGGAGTGCCTAAGGTATCAAGGCCACGGAGACGCTGGGGAGAGACGCCGGATCGCTGGGGAGGCCCTCACCGAGATCACACCAGTTCTGATGAGGAGATAGAGCTCCTAGAGAAGGAGAGGCACAAAAATGTACAGGAAGACACGGGCAAAACCAGGAGAGGAGGAAAATATGACAACAGCTCTCACAGGTGCATCTTACATGTTCTCTCTATTGTGTCCTGTTTATTTTGGTGGCACTCAGAAGTTGATATGGTTATATTTGAGGAAACATGATAAGAATAATATTCTCTTGAGGGACTTCCGTCTAGATAGGTTATAATTAGGCCCATATGGAACTGTGATGAAAACTCCACGGATTGGCATGGATTTTGAGCACGTCATTTACAAAATGATATATCTATTCTGCCCCATGCATGTCCATTGATTAGATTTTCTGGAATATAATTGCATTTTGAAAACGTTTTAATGTTGCTTACATAAAGTGAAATATTTCTGGTTTATTTAATAATGACATTTTACACATATTACCAACACATTTTACCGTAAATAAGTGCACGCTGCAGATTTGACCACATTCAAATGTAGAAAAACAAGTACAGATTTATCACAAATGAGTAATTCTAATTAATCATTAGTGTCATTGTGTGGTCAGATATTTTTATACAATGGCTAATAAACATGTTAAATAACTCTCACATTATAAATAATTAAATATACATTAAAAATACCAGTATTGTAAAATATTATATACAAAGTCGAATTATCAGCAGCCATTACTCCAGTGTCACATGATCCTTTATAAATAAATATATATACAGCATAAATGAGTACACCCCCTCTAAAACTTAACAAATTCTCTGGTCTCAAGAGACCAAGTCAATCATTTCGGATCCAAAAGCATCCAAAATGTTCTGGTGTTGCTAGAGGAGAAGTACAGTGAGAAGTGCTTGGTACCCACAGTGATGTTCAGTGGTAGTAAAGCTTTTATATAGGGATGTATGAGTGCTGAAGGTGTGAGGGAGTTGTACTTTATCAACACTGTCATGAATTCACACACTACTGCGTGATGTAATACAAAAACTTGAAACAGAAGATGCTACCCTCCCCTCATTCCTTGCATTATTGGGCATTTTTTCAGCATGACAATGAATATATTAATTCTCCCAAGGTGAAAATCCTTCAGTGGACAGTATTTCACTCAATCTTAACGCTCTTGAGCAGCTGTGGGGGATTCAGTAGAGACGAGCTGAGCACCACTCCCCATTAAAGATCAGAGCATTTAAGGAGGTCGTCCTGCAGGAGTTAAACAGGACAGATGTGAAAATTCGTCATGAACTTGGACGTCAAAAGATGAATATGAGACAAGAGATCAACATTTCAGCTTTTATTTCCAGGTATTTTCATCTAGATCTGATAAAAACAACTTAGAAGATAGCATCTTTAGTTTGAACCCACCCATTGCTCATGTGACCAAAAGTATTGGAACAGATTGACTTAAACTAGAATAAAGTGAATAAGACTTAATATTTAGTTGCAAATCCTTTGCTTGCAATAACTGCATCAAGCCTGTGACCCATTGACATCACCAAACTTTTGCATTCTTCTTTTGTGATGCTTTTCCAGGCTTTCACCGCAGCCTCTTTCAG